CGGACACTTTTATTTTTGCATTCCCAAAGCCCCTTTTTAAGCATTTTTTTTTTGAGCTTTCAGAGAAGAATACCTTAACAATTCGCGAACGGGCTTGAAAACATCGCTATCTACCGCTTTAGACGTTGTTTATTTCTCGATAAGGTTGTGGTTTTTAAAGCTTTTACCAGCTTCCCTGCTGGCTCAAATTCTTAGCTCAAATTTTGTACTCACATGATTCACAGTACAATTGTGTGATCTTTCTGGTGTACTTTATGCTTAAACTTGTAAGTACACACTTTCTGGTGCACTTATTTCTTCATTTACTGCATTTTTCTTGCAGAAATGGGCGGGTTTGGCAAGAAAATAAAGAATCAATTGGGAAAGGGTGTGATTTCAAAATTTGGCTAAAGGAACCTTCAAAAGAACAATGTAAAATGTATATTGTAGTATCAGAGTACAATATAGCTGATTTTTTTATTTATTGATTTCACAGTATATGTAATTTAACACTTCTGACATTTCGAATAGGAGCCGAATAGGAATCGAATGGCAATCGAATTGAAACCGAAAGGAAATCGAATAGAAGCCGAATAGGAATCGAATAGGAATCATCGAATAGGAGCCGAATAGGAGCCGAATAGGAACCGAATAGGAGCCGAATAGGAGCCGAATAGGAATCGAATAGGAGCCGAATAAGAGCCGAATAGGAGCCGAATAGGAGCCGAATAGGAATCGAATAGGAATCATCGAATAGGAGCCGAATAGGAGCCGAATAGGAGCCGAATAGGAATCGAATAGGAATCATCGAATAGGAGCCGAATAGGAGCCGAATAGGAGCCGAATAGGAATCGAATAGGAATCATCGAATAGGAGCCGAATAGGAGCCGAATAGGAGCCGAATAAGAATCGAATAGGAATCATCGAATAGGAGCCGAATAGGAGCCGAATAGGAACCGAATAGGAGCCGAATAGGAGCCGAATAGGAATCGAATAGGAGCCGAATAAGAGCTGAATAGGAGCCGAATAGGAGCCGAATAGGAATCGAATAGGAATCATCGAATAGGAGCCGAATAGGAGCCGAATAGGAATCGAATAGGAATCATCGAATAGGAGCCGAATAGGAGCCGAATAGGAGCCGAATAGGAATCGAATAGGAATCATCGAATAGGAGCCGAATAGGAGCCGAATAGGAGCCGAATAGGAATCGAATAGGAATCATCGAATAGGAGCCGAATAGGAGCCGAATAGGAACCGAATAGGAGCCGAATAGGAGCCGAATAGGAATCGAATAGGAGCCGAATAAGAGCTGAATAGGAGCCGAATAGGAGCCGAATAGGAATCGAATAGGAATCATCGAATAGGAGCCGAATAGGAGCCGAATAGGAACCGAATAGGAGCCGAATAGGAGCCGAATAGGAATCGAATAGGAGCCGAATAAGAGCCGAATAGGAGCCGAATAGGAGCCGAATAGGAATCGAATAGGAATCATCGAATAGGAGCCGAATAGGAGCCGAATAGGAACCAAATAGGAACTGAATAGGAACTGAATAGGAGCCGAATAAAAGCCGAATAGGAGCCGAGTAGGAACCGAATAGGAGCCGAATGGTAACCGAATGGGAACCAAATGGCAACCAAATGGGAACCGAATAGGAACCAAATCTGTACATTTTTGCATTTTTGCCATTCTTGTCATTTAGATTACCCGTCTTCTTTACATTCATCACTCAAAAGTTTCTTTCAAAAGCAATAATCTTGCTTCTCCTTTCATTTCTCATCTCTTCCACCCTTTCCTTTCCCATTTCCCCGGATTATCCCGCTTCTCATTCAAGAAAATTATCTACGCAAATTGCTCAGCAAAAATCCGTCATCGCTTTCATTCTTCGATTTCTTCACGTCTCATTTCTCTATCTACCTAGGCTTCTTTAAAGCTTTATTTTATCAAAAAGTTAAAATGTTTTCTAAAAATTGAATAAAACGTGTAAAAAGCCTGAAAAAACGACGAAATTTGACGTTTCCTCGGGGTGATATTTACCCAAATCGAGACACGTAAATGCCTTTTTTCCCTTTTCCATTCCAGGCCTCAAAATATCTTCCAGATCATTGGAATTACGAGAATTTTTTTTGAAAAGCGTTCAAATGATCATCATGAAAGCTTCTGAGACTTGAAAAGCTGTTTTTTTCGATTTATATTTGTTCTACTGTTTTCATTTCATTAGTCAAAGCTAAGCATCGAGGTGCTCGCATCAAAACGCACCCCTTCTAACAAATTTAAGTTCTAAAAGTTTGGTTTTTATGTGAAAATGGTTAGGTTTAGTATTTTTCCATCACTAGTTTTGTTTAGAGTGTGTTTCTTGCGAGTAAGTAACTACCTGAGTAAAATTTCTAGTCGATTAATCGACGTTTTTCGTCGAGTAACTACGAGTAATCCTGTTTAAACGTCGAGTAAATTGAAGATGTTTAGATTTGAAGGAAATTTGCTTCGAAATCAGTTAAACTGCTGAATACTTTTAAAAGAACGCGTATATAAGGCGGCGTATATAAAGCGGCGTCTATAAGAGGGCGTATATAAGGCAGCATATATAAGGCGGCGTATATAAGACGGCGTATATAAGGCGGCGTATATAAGGCGGCGTCTATAAGAGGGCGTATATAAGGCAGCATATATAAGGCGGCGTATATAAGACGACGTATATAAGTCGGCGCCCGTGTTTTTTTCGCACCAATCTTTTTGCAATAATTTTCGCTAAAAGTACGGTAATTTTTCCGTTTAAAGTACGTTTTAAAAAACGCATTAGTCGTGAAAAGCACACTCTAATCTTGTTTATTTTCTTTGCCCAAATTCGCCTCATAGGAACCCAAAATATTATGCGCTTTGCAAAGAAATTCTTCACCCAGACACCAGTGTTTTTGCCTCGCCAAATTTATCTCCCATCTCATTTGCAAATCGCATGTTTTTCTCATAAATTTTCTCATCAAAATAGCAAAACAACTCAAAACTGGTGCGCCAGAAAGGATGTGTTTACAAGCTTTGAGCTTAATGTACTCTTGAGGTGTACTTTTTCCCTGTAAACGCACCGTTTTTAGCATACTTGCATGATTTCAGCTCATTTACCCAACTCTAGCTATTTCTGGTGTTTTCTTCTAGAGAAATTTGAAGAATCGAGTATGCCAGAGAAAGAATGCATTTACGTGACAGCAAAAGTGCATCATAGAGCTTTAAAGTGACCCAATAACCCTAATCCATTCAATCCAAATACCCAAATAAGTCCAAATTTGCTCCAGACTTTTCCTAATTCAGATATTCAAAATTCACCCAAATCCATCAAAATATCAACGCAAAACGCAACGCAGCTGCATCCTTTTTTCCTTTTCCATCAGCCTCTAAAGCAATTTGGTCTTCGCTAAAAAGATTCATTCATTTTCATAAATTCCCTTTTTCTATTTGAAAGAGACTCAAAAGTGCCAGGCACCGTTCGAGTTTTTTTCTTGTTTTGTTTTGTTTTCTCAAATCCAAGTCGATTTAATTACCCAACTTGATCAAGAACCATCAATTACTTGTTCTTTTGCTTGTTCACATTCGATTCATCGTCCACTCACTGGCCGGTTCAATTACCCAACTTTTAACTTGGATAAACGACAAGGAAAACTTCGGTTAAACTATTCTCCATTATCCAAGTTACAAGTTGGGTAATTGATTCGTTTTTTGATTTTGGGTAATTGATTCGTTGACTCGGTTCAATGACCCAACTTGTAAGTTGAATAATGGAGAATAGAACCAGTTAAGGAAGTAGAATAGAGTTTGTTATGTCCACACCTTATTTTTCTAGCACTAAAACTAGAGTTAGACTACTATATTTGGGATATTTGAGATTTATCGAAGCTTAGCATGGCATCTATTTGTTTTTCATCGCTCTTTTGAGTGGATCTTTGATGTATTAGCAATAAGCGTTAAAGTGGAGATCTCTTTTCTCCTTTCTTGTCAGCTCTCTTGAAAATAATATATTATAATATATGATTTGGCTTTGATTTCGAAAGTTTCGAAAAGATTGCAAAAAAATGATTCAAAATTTAGCCTACTTTGGCCTGATCTAAAGTTTTTGCTTCAGAAAAAGCCCTCAAAATGCTTTCAGTGTATTCGCTGCGTAAAATCAAAATTTGAGACAGTTTAACTAACAATTTTTTTCGTGTTTATCAATGTTTATTTTAATATAAATCAATTCATTAATTAATATCAAAGTTAAATGTTTATCAATGTGTTTCACCAATAAGTTTACAATTTTACTAGACTAAGCCATCTCCACATATCCCATTTTTCATCTGTTCCTTGATCTTTGTCATGCTTTGATCCTTTACTAACAATAAGTAACCAAAGTCAGATAAAAAAGCTCAGCTTACTTACTCAACTTACTCATTTACTCCTTTTTTCTGATTTTCAATCGAAAAATTTCAAAATCCTTGTCACTTTTTTATTTTTTCTTGATCAACAACGTATTTTCCCCTTAAAATTTGCAAAATTAGGCCACTTTCGAAGCGATTTTCTCTTTTTTCTCACAAAATCGCTAAGGTCAATCTTTTTTTCTTTAAAACAAGATGTTTTGTTGTCAGTTTAGGAAAAGTTTTGCAATTTTAAGATCAAAGAAGCTCTTATCGGAAGATCTTATTCATATCTTGGCTGAATATCTTTTGAGCTGAATATCTTATCCATTTGCGTTTTTCTAGAGATTCAAATTGACCAAAATTGCCCAAAAATTGACAAGAATCGATAATTTTGCTCAATTTTTGCTCAATTTTGCTCATTTTTTTGCACAATTTTGCCAAATTTCGCTTAACTTGCATAAAACTTAAAAGAAAACTACGAATTTTCCACGTTGAAATGGTAATTTTGAAAGCCGAGAAGCTCTAGAAAAAGATTCTATCTGGAAACTAGACAATTTGAACTAGCAATTTCTATTTTAATAGAGAAATACGGTAGATTTATGTTTGTTTTATTGATTTTACCTTAATTTCTCGATTTCAGAATGAGCAATGACTCCGGGGTGTGCCTCGATTTGAACGCCGAACTTTGGATCTACCGTCGTGATGTCACCACTCTTCCAATTACGATGGCCGCTTTCGCTCTTCTATACACGCTCATCATTTTCGTGGGCATTGTTGGAAATTCGTGTGTCATTTTGGCGATCTGGAGGAATAAGTGAGTGAAATTGCAAGGCACAGAACATTTACGTGAAAGATAGAAATCAGAATTAGCAACCACAGAAATTCGACAATCCTCTAAAATTCACTTCCAGAGCCCTGCAAACAGTGCCGAATCTCTTCATTTTGTCTCTTTCTTGTTCGGATGTTTTGGTGTGCTGTGTCTCGGGAACGATCACGCCGATCACAGCCTTCAAAAAGGAATGGCTATTCGGACAACCGCTTTGCTCAATTGCACCCTGGGTGGCGGTGAGTTTCAAAGGGATTTTAGAATAGGAATAGCTAGACTTAAAACTTACAAACTGGAGGATCAGGTCTGGTCTGACACCTGGCTTGGTTGAGTTGTTCCCGATATGCTCTGGCTCTGGCTTGGCCGTGGCCGTGGCCTAAGTTTTGGCAGACCAGGGCCCGGGTTCGCCAAACTATTTACCATTTACCAGCTAGCAACTTTGCTAAACGGATTTAGCATTTGCTAAACAGTAGTTTAGCATTTACCAATTTAGCATTTATCAAAAATTGAGTTTTGTTTCTTGTAGTCTTGAATATTTTGATGCCAAATAAAGCTAACATAAGTTCATGTGCTCGAAATTGGCTAAATTTTAGCTTGTTTTGTAGCCAGAGTCGGAGTTCGAATCTGTGATTCGTTTTTTCATATCTTTGTTTAGTGTAGAGCTATAAGTGTTTTCTTGGAGCTGGCGGCACTGCTAAACACTGCTAAACACGGCCCTGCTAAACACAACACTAAACATTTAAGCAAAATTTGCTAAATGCCTTGGTAAACCCGTTGAATTTTACAAAACGATAGTTTGCTAAATTTAGCAAAACTTTTCACCAAAAAAGTTTGGTGGAACCAAAAATTTTGCTAAATTGAGCAGTTGGTGAGCCCAGGTCCAATCGAAATTGGCTTGGTTTGGGAGATCGAGTCTAGGAACAATCCTGTTTTCGATTCAAATACATAGGATCTAAAACATGGGCTAAGGTGTCATTTATAACTTATCCATTCCAGGGCATCACGCTCGTCTTCTCCACTTTCACATTAACAGCGATCTCCGTCGATCGATATATGTTGATTCGACATCCGATGAAGAAGCCATTGACACTCAATCAAGCGTTGATGGTCATTGCGGTGAGTTTGACTGCAGATATGCAAATAAAGAAGTAGGATTGGATGAAGGATAAAGGGTAAAGAATTAGCAAGAAAAAGTAGTGAAAAAAAGAAGTAAAAGTAAACAAAGGAAAGCTGGAAAGCTGTTCAACAGGTTGAAGGACTGGTTGAAGAACTGATTCTTTAGGGAATCGCCACTTTCGCCTCACTAATCTCACTGCCAACAATGCTCAAGCAACGCCTCGGACCATTCCCGAACTTTTGCGGGGAATTCTGCACAGAGGATTGGGGAGATCCGACCGATGGAGGAGATCACGGACGGAAGTGAGCAAAACTTTTGTTTTGACGTCTAAGATCTTTGTGTCACGATTTACCACCATGAAAACCCCATTCCAGAATTTATGGCGGTGTCCTTTTGATCATGCAATTCGTCATCCCACTCACCATTATCATTATCTCATATACGGCAATCTCGCTAAGGATTGGACAAGTGAGGAATGAAGATTTAAGTGGTAATCTTTCAACTTTTAGAGTATGATCCTAAAAGGCACACAAAAGAATGGCTCATGCAATTGGGAAGCAAATCTCACAGATCAACAAAGAATCGCTTTGAAGAGAAGACAAAGAACGAATCGGATGTTGATTGCGATGGTGGTCGCTTTTTCGGCTAGGTTTGTTTTCAAACGTTTAAGCTGTAAGCTCAAGACTTGAATGATTCCCTGCTTTGTTAACTGAAACATTTGATAGACAAGTTTCCTTTTAGCTGGTTCTGGTCGGTTGCTTACAATGTGCTCAGGGATTATAATTACTTGCCGGATGTGTTGAGAGATCAGGAATATTTGCTGGGAATTGGAACGCATTGTATAGCGATGACGTCAACGGTGAGTGAAATTGAGAAAGTCTAAGGAAAGTGACACTATTTACTCTAGTGAATAGAGATCAAAGACAAGGTCAGTTTGGGCTCGAGCTAGCGTTCTGAGCTAGATTAGGGCCAGACCAGAGTAGGCTTGTGCCAGGCCAGAAAAGCCAGTCTGCCTGGAAGCTGACCTAATTTGTTGACCTGGCCTAGTCCAAAAGGGTCAAAGGTTTAATTGCATGAGTGGTGAGAAGCCTGGTTCTAATGAATCCTTGAATACTTTAGAACTTGAACAATTCCTAGACTACGGTAACCATTGCAGATCTGGAACCCGATCCTGTACGCGATGTTGAACCTTCAACTCCGACAAGCATTCATCCGCCTTTTGCCCGCTCCATGGAGAAGGCGTTTCTCTTCAGACGATCTCGAGAAGACTTCTCCGCTCATCAATGGGCATTGTCACCAAAATGGGCTGAATGGTGTCGATCATCCATCAACTTTCCCTTCATCGACTCGGCCAAAGTATGGGGCCACCCAGGTGCGTGGCCCTCCACTCACTCACAGTCCCCAATATCTCTTTGATCCTTCATCATTACTGTATTCCCCTTGGGTAGACTGTTTTCTAAAAGGTGCTCTTTGGGGGAAAAGCTACCGTACTTTTACCGTCATCACATTACAGGTTTAAATTTAATCTGATGCCAGATCAGACAAATAGCTTTCAGCCAGGTAGATGCCATGTTTTCTGCTACAAAAACAATTAGAACTTGTCTGGGAGTACGATAACTTGCCTGGGAGTACGATAACTCGTCTGGGAGTTCGGTAACTTATCTAGGAGTACGGTAGCTTCTTCTCAAGCGCACCTTTTAGAAAAACGTCAACCCAAGGGAAGCACAGTCTATTTTGTCATCCATATTGTTGATTTTTGGCTAGATCTTCCGATTTTGATGTGGTTTGAGAGGGTTTTTAAAGCACTTTTGTAGAAGTGGGTTAGAGATTTTAGCACAAAAAGGGATAGGAATTGGAATAAGTAGAAAGTAGACTTTTTACCCTAAACTTATGTTATTCTGTACAACAAGTACGTGCCTGTGTACGCTGTAAACTTGCCGAGCGCTGACCTGTAATTGAAAGGCTTTCGAGTAGCAACCAGAGTCAGTGTTCGGATAAAGTTTGCAACAATGAAAGATCTGATTACGGTTAAATAATGAAAAATACAAAGTTCAATGTCTTTTTCACTTTTAATTTCTGAATTTTAAAACCTTTTCGCTTCTTCTTCTCATCATCAATCTTTTCCCATTCCTTTTTTCCAATTTCTCTTCTTTTCAGGAAAGCAATTTGCTTTCGAGCACTTCCTATTCAAAGGTTTGTGTCGAGAGAGAAAAATGTTATTATATTTTTTGTTGCATGACTACTTTTCCTTAAAAAGATGACAAGTTAGATCAGTTTTTTTAGTAAAAACCTTCAGAACCCAAGATTTTAAGTCCAAAGGCTTTAAGTACAAGAAACAAGCTCTTTACTATGTACTTTTGAAATTTTTGCAAATGCACCCTTTCTAGTACAGTGAAATCTTGAATTTTTCTTGATAGTGGTCATTTATTTAAGAACACGATGGAAATAGTTGAGTTACGCGACGTTTCAAAGTACACAAAGTAGCGCCTAACTGGGATTTCACCCAACTCATCTATTTTGTCGTTCTTCTTTTTATAATTACCTGTTTTCGCGAAAAATCAAAGAACTCAAAGCACCAGAAAGGATGCGTTTACAAAAATTGATCCAAAGTACAGCTCAAGGCTTGAAAATCGTTAAAATGACCAGATTTTCTCGTTTACGAATGCTGTGAACTCTATAGTTGAAAAATTTCTTTTAAATTGCTTTAAATTAAGTTTCCTAAATGTTTTAAATGTGTCAAAATCAAAGCAAATTCCGATATTTTGGTGTTTCAGAGTGTAAATTAACTCCTTCTCTACAACTTCTCTGCTTTCTTTTCTCTCAGAATTGAGGTGAAGCGGTGATTTTCCTGTCTACCCCAAATTTAATGTTTTTTTTGTTTCTTTGTTCATTGTAAATTTGTCTCTGAGTTTTATGAAGAGATTGGGTAATTCATCCGAAATTCATCCAAAATTTTGGATGAATTGCAAAACTGTGTCTTTATCTTCTCGATGATTGTCATTCTCGATGATTGTCATTCTCGATGATTGTCTTTATCTTCTCGATTCCCATTCTTTCAATCTTCTTCCCCTTTCCCTCAATCTTCTTCCCAATTTCTCTTCTAAATCGAGGCCTTTCAGTGAGTGTCGGGCCACGCCTGCATGAACACACTCGGTTGACGATCTCATTTTTATTATTTTCACTCACCCAAGCTTTTTTTTCGTTTCTCATCCTTAGTTGAATGTAAATCCTAGCTTTTTTTGGTTCATTTTGGAGCTTTCTTGATCATGTGTACTTTATACTCAAAACCTCTAAACACATCCCACTGAATTCTTCATTTTTTCTTTGAAAAGAGACTGGGTTTTCATAGGAAAAACGAAGAAGCCAGTGCACTAAAAGGTGTGCGTTTACATTGAGCACAAAGTACATGAATTGGGTGACTAAACCAAGTTGGTTTTACCCGATCTTAAAACTTGAAAGTATTTTCAAGGTCAAGACAAGTTCCATGTAGATCTCCTCATTTTCTCTTTTCACCCGCATGTTTCCCCCAAATTTTACCCCAATTTTCGGGCCGACACCCTCTAACAACCTCACCGTACTTATATTTTGCCATATTGCTTTTCTTCTTAACATCACTTATCTTAAAAAGTTTTCTGGGAAAGGATTGGCTTTGAAAAATGACGACAATTGGGTAACTGAACTGGTTTTGATTTTCACATAATGAGCTGAAAGGACATCACCCGATCAACTTGATTTTTGAGCTAATTGGGTAAATGAACCGATTGCGCTGAGTGAATGCTAAGGAATACCCGATCTTAAACCGAAATTGGTAATTATGGACCGACTATTTTGGGCGTTTGATTGAATTGGAGGATTACATGAAGACTGACTACAATTAGATAACTAAAGCAAAGTTAAACTAAAACAATGGGTAACTAAACCGATTGGGTAAGTAAATCAAAGTTTAGTTTGTTAAAAGAACCGATTTGAATTGAACTCGTTGAGTAAATTAGGCAATTGAACCAACTGCCGAGGGAAAAGGTGCGCCAGAGGCTTGCGCACCACTCCAAGGTACCCGGTTGCAGAAAGCTGACAAAATAAGTGCTAAAAATCAGCCTCAAAGAGCCAATCTTTCTCCTCAAAGGAAAACTTACCAAATCCAAATCCAAGGCTTTATTTTCCTTCAGCACAAACAGTAGATTCACTTGGTTTTTCGAAAATTTTCCTTTTTTTATTTCAGAGTGCCATTTTCCCCCGAAAATCCAACTAATTGGGCTGAGCTTGCAAATTCTTAACATCGTTGTACCGATTTAGTTTTTAAAAAGTCAGGATCTACTTAATTTTATCTTTTTTAGAGGATCACATTGGGAATTCCAATCGACACGAATGGGGGATCGGTTGTGATTCGGAAAAGAAGTCGTGAAGAAAAAGGGGACGAGAGAAGCGATTGGGAAAGGGAAATGAGAGACAATGAGAGAGAATTGATGGCAATCGAATCGAGGAGGGGAAGCAGACTGTCGGCTATACGGGTGAGTTGTGCAGCAAGTGAGCAATTGAACTGGATTAATAGAACGAATCAAGAAACAAAGTCAAACATTTCTTTGTTTCACTGATAACTTTCACTGATGTTTCATAGTTGACGAATCGCTCCAGCCCGGTTAGATCGTCAGGGGTTAGATCAGGTTAGATCATTGGCTTTGCCTTAAAGAGTTTAAAAAGATATGGTTTAAAAGACACTGATCCTATTTCCGCCTGTTCTGAATCTGAATCTAGTCCTAGGACTTGGTTGAAAACCTGTGCAATAGTTTGTCAAGACTGTTACATAAAACTCCATTATAAAAAATCTCGTTCGCCAAGGATCTCTATTGTATCCCGAAAAGCCTAAAGTTATAAACAAGTTACGCGAAAACCGTACTGAAATTGAAAAAACCTATGAAAAGAACCATGACTTCTTCTTGACGCTGTCATTAAGCGAATAGAGTTAGTGTTCCCGTGAGGAAGGCGTCATCTAACAAGGGAAAGGTACTGAGCTTCCCTTCTGATTCGCTTTCTGATTCGAGACCAAGTTCATCGTATAAAGTCGGCCATGGGGATCTCAAATCCGTCTTTAGTTTTTGCTAAACGCTTCGCAGGTGGGAGAAATTTTGCATAGAAAATCACCTTCGTTTCTTCATCCTCGAGCCTTCGAGCTCCTTATTCGATGATGAAATATGTATTGGAAGCAGTAAAATCTCACTACAGGGTTACGGTAGTACGGAAAAAATGGTACTCCAAGGGTACTTTTCTCCGAATTGGCTTGTTTTAGAAGAAATAGAATATATAAACTGTAATCGCCACAATTTTCCCATCAACAATTCCCGTTTGCAGGTAATCGTCTCGAAGCTTTCCTCCGGTCTCTCCGATCAAGGTGACGAGGATCGTGAGTGTCTTGTCCCATCAACTCCCTCCTCAATGTCCTCAATTCCTGCATTTCAATGGGCTTCTCCCCCTCCATCTCCATCATTGATCATTCGTCCTGTCTCCTCCATTGACCCCTCAACTCCTCCCGTCTTCAATTTGCTAATTGTTAGGACACATTCGTTTTGATCTTCAAAAACTGCCCAGCTCTCATGGTACTTTTTCACTGTGTACTTTGTGATCAAATCTTGTAAATACATCCTTTCTGGCGTGCGCGAGTCATTGTTGCAAGAAAAACGAAGAAATCTGTGCGCCAGAAAAGTGATGTTTACAAGTTTCGATCACAAAGTAGATCACGGAGCTAAAAGGTGACCAAAGCTCCCGTAACCACAAAGGAAAAGTACTATTTTGAAGAAAAACTTCTCATTTTTCACATCCAACTCCCAAAAACACAGCTCAGCCCTCAATCGTTTTCATATTTCCCCCATTTTTATGAATACGCCGGTTCTCCTGTTATTGTTTCCTTCCATTTACGGGTTTCCTTCATTTATTGGTACTCATTCTTTTTTCTCATCATTGCTTGTACATTTGTGAATCTTACAGACTTCCCTTTTTTTCTCCGCTTAGTAATAACATATCAATGAGAATAATAAATTTATTTGACTATGGATGTAAATGAATATCTACAGAACGAAAAATAAACAGAAATTCGTTTAAAAGTCAGAGAAAATAGTGGAAAAACCAAAACTAACTAATAACTAGGTTTTGACACATTAAACATGGCCATATTTAATTTTTTAGTATAAGTTTGAAAATGTTTATGAAAATTATAAAAGTTTCATTCCAATTGCCCGTTTGGTGAAAATTTGACTCCTCTTATCAATTATTGAATTGAAATTGAAAATTGTATCTATTACTTGATTGAGAGCAATAGATACAATAAAGTAATAGATACAAATTTTCACTTGATAATCAATTAAGCGAATAAGGGAATCAGGCCAACTAAGATTCTTGATAAATGTTAATAAATCTCAATAAATCTTCTGCATCTAAAAGAACTTCGGACACTGAAACCACTTGTGAATCTGACGAAGAATCTGAATCTTCTTATGAACCCTATCCCTTCCCGCACTACATATTCCAATTAAAAAATCCTCCTCGTCCAATTTGTCAAAAGAATCATTCAGGGAAATGTCAAATGAATGGGTTTAGAAAAATGAAAAATCATGCATGAAAACACATCAGATGAAAACAGGGTTCTCAAATTTACCTGAAGCATTGCACATTCCCAAGGTTTAATTACCCAAGCTTGAGGTTGTTGCGAGGTACTGACTCTACTTCTACATCCACGGATCTGAAGCGCCCCGAGAAGTATGTTGATGAAATACGCCATCCATGCCACTCACTTCCGCCAATGGTAACAATGAAGCTGCCCCCGCCCTTCGAGGATGTTGATCTCGCGAAGAAACTCGGAAACTATTACCACCTGGTGATTGAGGGATTGCCTGAAGCTGACGTCCATCGCGCCATGACGCCGTATACTAGAAGAGCAGCAGATCGTGACCTTTTGGATGCGATTTTGGCTTCATATGATCTGGATGCAATGGTAGTTCAATCATATAGGATAGGTATCTTCTCTCCGTTTCTGAAGGTGATTTTTGGCTCTACATACGGTGTGTCGAACTTACTGAGTTTTTTTATCGTGTTAAGAAGGATTACGCTCGGTTCATTGTGATTCGACGCTCGGACCCAAGTCGCTACAAGAGCAAGAGCCAGGAGACATTTCCTTCAACTCAACATGATTTTCTTTTTCTTTCTTCCACACCTCGACGTGAATACGACAAGGAGTGTACCTAAGGACCAGGTTGGAGCCCTGCATGTGGCTGGTGTCAATGTGAGTGCCTCTGAGACGACTGTTGGCATGGCTGCGCAAAAGGATATTACAAGGGAAAGCATGCCGACAGTCTCTACAAAAAGGCCTCCAGTCAAGAAGGGCCGACCTTTAAAGAGGATTAACTCTACGAAGATTGACCCGCCTGGGTTGCGCTGTCGCAGAGCACACTCCTTGTCAGATGTGAACGAACCATTAGCAAAGAATTTTCGAGATGAAAGGGAAAACGATGCCTTTTTTTAGCGCACTTAGGACATTTCCGCACTATTTTTTTTGCGCACCCGGGATATTTGCGCACCTTTTTGTCCATTATAACAAGGACTGCCCTAGAACCACAGGACCACTTGGCTTCACTTTTTGTTTTTTTCCTGCTATTGGTCTGTAGCTTTCATTTCTTGATGGTATCGGTTGTTTTCCTGTCTTTTTGATGGTAGTTTTTTTCAATCCAAAGCATTTTATCAATCAAAATATAACATTTTATTCATTAAAAAAATAACAAATAACATATATTGAAAGGAAAGCTAAAAGCAACAAAGCGAGACAAGTAACAACTAACGTGATGCAATATGAGGCAATAATTGAGACAAGTGTAAAACATGGGCACTATTGTTTCTACCATTTAAAACAGCGTGAAAACGTTGATCTTGGCGAAAAATAACCTTTTTAATCTGAGGATATTATTGTACCAACGAAAGGTTGCGAGTCGTAGCAAGCCTCAAGTGATTAATAACATTCATCGTTTCCTCATAAAGCCAACTCACAATGTAACCAGGATGTGGACTCTTTGGTCCGGACTAAAGATAAATAAAAATTAGACCGAAATTACCAACAAACCTTTAATAAAGAATTAAACGCCTCGTGTGTTGCATTACCAAGTTGCTGAGATTGGATAACACGACTGTAAACATTCCATTTATCAACAGGATACGTGGGTGGCCGGCGAAAGTTCCCATTGACAACTTTTCCAATGTAGTTTTTTGCAAGGAATTTGTAAAATTCTAAAGAAACAGAGTATAAATAAGGCAATAAAGACTAACTTTTAACTGAAGCCATGTTGACTTCGGGTGGCGGTGCATTGCGCGAAGAAACAAGGAGGGCGTCAAAGTAATCGGCAACTTCTTGAGGATCAACTAACGACAAGGCCATTGTCGAGTGCAGCTGCATTTTTCCATGTGGAGTTTGCAGTTGCGAATTTAGCCCATATCTCTAAAATTGTTATTCGTAGAAAAAGCCAAGAAAAAACCTTTAAATTTCGAAGTATGTTCTGGTAGAAATGAAAAACACAATACTTGTGATGGACACTTGTTGGAAGCTTTGATAGATGCCTCTTTCAAAATCTAAAAGAAAATATCGTTAAAACCATATACAAGCTTCAAACCTGTCATTAAGCAATTTGGTGAAGCAATATTCTGTGAAAGGATAAATCGAAAAACGATCTTGTAACATAAACTCGCTTTGCCGCTCAACAAAGCAAAGACACAGGGAATAAAAAGATGCCCGATCTAAAAAACAATAACAATCTATTGGGACATGCAAAAACTTACTTGAACACCGACGATGAATAACTGCGCAAAATCCGAGGGATAAGCGTAGAAAGTGCCGTCGGCCGTCCAGGTCCGATTCTGTATTAACTTGTTACAGTATTTTACAAAAGCAACTCACATTTCTAAGTAGATCCAATCCAATATCATGCGCATAGATTTTGAGCGCGTTCAAATCTCCTTTTTGATATCCAGGACACGTATCAACTCGCTCGAATGTTGCACCTAAAAACACAATTATCGACAAAGACTAAAAGCAAACCAAAAGACGAGCAATCAATTTTATGAGGCCATGTAGTCAGAGCTGCTTTCTTCGCCGCACGTTTTGCCACCTTTGTTAAAGCTTTCTCATCGATAAACGGTTTCAGATGATCGTCGGTTCCTCGAATGTCTTCACGAACAATTTCTCGTATCTGCACGCCAACTGCCGCGTGATGTTTAACAATTTCCTTCAGACCACGTATCTATTAATAGAGCGATTAAGGATTAAGGATTAAGGATTAACGACCAACCTCTTTTCCATAGTTCGGGACCATGTGTGCATGATGACCTTCGCTGATAATGCATCCGTCTTGAGCTGAGTATTTGCCAAAAAGACCACACTTTTTTTGCAAGCACCTGTAAGAAACAAGAATTTTCACTTCCATAAACTTTAAAATTAAAAAGTAAACTATTAATCAGTACCTGTAAATCGGTCCTTTGGTTCGAGTGTCCCTGTGGAGCCGAAATTCGAAACCGCTCGCGTCATAAAACACCTCTTTATTCCTGTTGGATCGAGGTGTGGCCGACAAAACTCTAAAAACGAACATTAACGAGAGGATAAATAAGATGCAAAAGAAACTTTAGGAAGTGTGCAAAATGCAGCTTTTTTTGCGCACCCGGTCCATTAGCGCACCCTTTTTCACGTTTTCAAAAAGCTCTAAAAAAATCCAAATTCTGACATACCAGACCTTGCGGAATCAATTTGAAAGACAAAACGGGTAGGTAAAATTACAGAAAATTGTCGATTTTTCTCGATTTTGTCGATGTATAACTCCGCCCGTTTGCTTCCACAAGCTCTGGTATGTCAAAATTTGGATTCTACGCCCTAAAATTATCCAGAAAAACAAGTTTTGGAATAGAAATTGATTAATATTAGCTTTTTTAAAACGCAAAAAAGGTGCGCTAATGGGTCAGGTGCGCAAAAAAGGTTGCATTTGTTCCACTCCCTAGCTTTATAGGAAAAGCGTAAAACGCAAAAAGAAAGTGCACCTTGGTCAATTTAGTTGCATCTTCCGAGCTTCTTGAAGTCGATTCGTCGATTCGCAACTAAAAAAAGCAATTCTAGCAAGTCCACCAACAGAAAAACAAAAAAAAGAACTCAAAAAGTCGACAAGTGGGGCTAAAAAACAGTGAGTAACCAAATCCCTTACCTAACACAGCACACTTAAACAGCAAATATGGGCAAAAAATATATAAAGGAGAGAACGAACGAGGGAGAGAGCACTTTAAAAAAGCGCCACAAAGACATAACAGATTTCACGGAGGGAAGAAAACTCGGCATAAATCTGAACAAACAGAAAGTTTCCGAGTCCATCATGGAATGAAAAAATGGCAAAAGGAAAATTTTTGGGCGGGGGTACGGTAGCGCATCCACGCTTTGGAAAGTGCACCACGCCGCATTCGCGCCAATCCCTTAAAACTACACGTTAATAGGAATCTAACAAAACGATTATATGGGTCTAGGGCAGTCCTTGTTATAATGGGCGAAAAGGTGCGCAAATGTCCCGGGTGCGCAAAAAAAAGGTACGGAAAAAAAGGTGCGCAAATGTCCCAGGTGCGCAAAAAAAGGTCGCATTTGTCCCACCCCCCGTTTCTTGCTATTAACGAGACGTGGCTAGATGACTCTCTAGTTTCCTCTATTCTTGACCCTAGTGGCTACTACCATATTATTAGATGTGATAGAGCTTCTTCCACTAAATCGCATGGTGGCGCTGTTGTGTTTTTACTCCTTAAGTCTTTTACCCATCATGTAATTTACTGCAGTTCCATCTTTAACTGTGAAATTATATTTTTAGATTTTTAAATTTTAGGGAGCTCTTTCTCCTCTAGGATAAATTCTATAGATGATGACGATAATTTTCTCTGTTCTAAAATCCTCCTCGCTATAGAAAACTCCTGCACTCACCCTGTAAAATTAGCCCCAAATCATATTACGAGAGCTAAAGCAAGACATCTACATTTTTTTGAAAGACCTTATTACGCAAATCCTCCGGCTGACCCACTAGCAATCAAAGAACAGCGCAAGCTCTCGAAATTTTGTCAAAAGTTTGAGTCAAACATTGAAAGGAAAGCTGTTTATTCGAAAAACACCAAGTCTTTCTTCTCCTATTTAAGCTCTAAAACAAAAGATCCAAAGATAGTCTCCAATTCGTTCGTTGACCCCTTAGACAGTACTTATTTCCAATCCCAGTACAATCGTCACTGAGTTTGCCAAATTCTTTCATAGTGTATATACGGTTACAGATAAAAGTTCTTCTAAACGATTCTCTCTCCCCTTCCTTTAATTGCTCTAGCGGTGTACCCTAAGGAAGTATTCTGGGTCCTATAATTTTTACAATTTACATTAATGATTTAGCTGCATTAAATTTTTCATCTAGGGACTCATCTATCTGGCTTTATGCTGATGACGCTAAACTAACCTTTAAAATCCCCATCAAAGATGAAGCCGCTAAGCTTGCTTCTTTCAGAGATGCCGTGTCAGATCTTGATCTGGTTGAAAAATGGTCCCATAATTGGAAATTAGCTTTAGCGTCTACGAAATCCCGTCATTTCTCCACCCGAAATACTATTTTCCCGCTGAAAATTAATTCTGCACCATTAAACAGAATTGGCAAAGAGGATTCTATCAGAGATCTTGGAGTCCATATTTCCCCACCTTTAAATTTCTCAAAACACATTGAAACTATTTGCCGTAAAGCTTCTTTCGTCTCTAGTCGTATCCTAAAAGCAATTTGTTATCCGAAAATTGACACTTACGGAAAGTGTTTCATCACTTACGTTAGACCCATTCTAGGGTATGCATCTATAGTTTGGTCTCCACATACACAATTTGTTGATATCTCTCGCCTAGAAAAAATTCAGCAGAGATATACTAAGATAGTTCTATGGAAAATAGATTTTTCCAAATTTGCAAACTTTGTTACACAGATAGACTCAAAATTTTTGATCTTAAATCTCTTAGACACCGCCGCTTGGTCACGGATTTAATAGAATGTTTCAAAATTGTAAAGGATGGGCAACCTATCCCTCTTTTTCGAGATTTATTCAAAGTTAATCCCGCGGTTAGTTCAAGGAGAGGTCCTTTCGTTTTAGAAATTCCAGTCACCTCCAATAAGTTTGTGTATAACTCTTTTCCAATAAGAACTGCCAGAATTTGGAATCGGCTCCCCAGAGTTTTGAGAAGGTCCAATAGTCTCGAAACCTTTAAATTATCTGTAGATGATCTTGATCTTGAAGCTCTAGTGGATCCTTGACGTTATCTGTGCTACCCATATATTTTATCGTGTTGCTTTTCATCGGCCCTTTTCGTGTTATGTGTATGAATTCATGTGTATTAGTCTTAAATCTACCGCACTTTATCTCAAGTCATGAATAAAGTATCTATATATATAATTGATAAGGGCTGGCATTATGCTGATGTTATCATAATTTCATTTGAATCATCCAATTGAATAAGTATTCATTGAGTTCCATAAAATCAACACTAGCCGTGAGTTTACGGAAAAAGCAATCAGCCAATGCACGATGACCAAATTGAACACCTAGATATCTGATGGAGCGAAGGAGAAAAGGTTACTTTATGTGTTTGAGCAAGGGAATCCAAAACCTCAAAAGCTTTTGGACGATGAATACGTTGAAAATTAGTGCATCTGATAAATGGACTCTTATAATATTAAAAAAAATCCTGAATCCAAACCACGAGGTGATTTCTTAAATTTCTGATTGACATACAGGTGATTGGATTTCAGTGACACGTTTGAGTGCAATCTCAATCAATAATCAATAATCAAACACTCCAGACATTTCATAGTTTATGAAAATGGTTCTAAAACAATAAAAATGTGTTTTCGAAGTCTTTTTTGATATCTGAAATGAGGTCAAAATGTGAATATGAATACTTCCTTTCGATGATTTTCCACATAACAAGTCCCAGACTGTAGGCATCATTTCGATGGAAGTTCTGGAAGGAAGATATCTTTTCATTGGATAGGAAAGAATGTAAAACTAACCCATACATCAGTCTCCTTCATTTGTTGATAAACTTTCCGTTGTACTTCATCCTCCTTCATATCGGGTGACTCATATATCGTTGTGTTCCAATAAACGCCCCCGTAACAGTTCCATGTCCCACTACTTTTACCAATCACCAATCTTCTGCTGGTATTCATTGGTCAGAAAAAGCGTCGAATTCTCCTCAGAGAGATTCAAATTACATCATAAATTAGCCTGGTTAACGTTGCCTGTGAGGAGATGTGTTCTAAAAATTTTCTGGACACACGCTTGAAAGGTTTCGGGGGTTGAAAAACATGTGAAATTCATAAAGTGAACAGCAACTTTTTGTCAATTTGTGCAAGTTTTCATCTGAATTTCAGAAAAATATTTCAGGTTCTGAAATATTTTTCATATTCATTTTTTATAGAACCCAAGCTCAAATTTACTGGTTTTTCAGCAACGTGCCGCATAGCAATTTTTGTACTGCTGGACTAGGGTTCTCTAAGTCATTAAAAAATGTTACGGTTCTTCTATTCTATGTAAAATCACGCGTAGATTTTATGATTAATTGTTGTTTTTCAGCTTAGGTTAATGTTTTGTCTTGGAAAGCCAAAAATATGCGCTATATATGGCGCACACTGTAATCTCTTGGAAATTGTTTAGTGTCGGACAAAAATCCGGAGAGACAAGGGTTGATATAAATAAAGGTGTTGGAGGAGCTGACCAACCCTTGACAGGTCAAAGCGGGTAATGGTTTAGATTGCTTGAAAGTCTATTGCTCATAATATGAGGCCAGTTTCTTAGGTTAACAGGAGAACAAGAACAGTTACAAGCCTAATAATCATGGCTAACTGAAAAATTCCTCAAAAAATGGTGTTTAGTCCTGGGATACAATCCGGAACAGACGACCTATAAACGAGTCGTAGCGGGCAATCTTTTGACTTGGCATTGAGAAGACCACATGTATACTAGACATGGCAATCGGACTTCTTCAGATCGGTCAATGTCTTAGGTTAACAGGAGAACCAGGATAGTTTGTAAACCAAATAATCATGACTAACAGATAAGGTCGCACTGATCTGGTCCTGTCCGATTGTGATGTCTAATGTCTACCCTCTAGCTTATTCCCAACAAGAGGAGCCTAGTTTGTTGCGCTTAGTGTAAGTTGTGGTTTGGTCACCGTAATTTGGGTTTGATCTTATCATTTGATTTGATTTGATCAACTTTAGCTGAACCCGATGTCGAGAATGAGTTAAAATTGCTTAAAGCACGCCAATTCAAA